GGATATGCACTTTACATCCTTTCACTATATGGCCACTTTTTTGTAACATATATTGGATGCATATCAGGGATACCCTGTAGTAATTCAGCTTTGAGTAATTTATATAATCATATTTTGTCATGAGGTTCTAGGAGTTGGTGCTAAGAAACAGTAGAGTGGCTCAACAGTATACTTTTCTACAAAACATATCAAATCATTTCCAACCTTTGTCATAGGAATAAGCTCTTAGACTAGTGTTCTTGACCAGGAGAGTTGAGAAAGCCCACAACAATGGAGCTGAGTGATGGGTGAGAGAATAAGAGATTCCATAGTAGGAGCATAGCCTTTTTTGTCTGCATGCTTGCAGGTAAGGGCCCCGATGATGGGGTTTGGCACACAGCCTTTGCCAGGTCTAAAATGGCCTCATTAATCAGGATGGTAATCTTTGAGGAGGCTCAAAAAAGGAGGATATTAAGCAGTTGGTGAGTATCTTCAGCTTCTTCTAATGCAATCTGAAGAATGTCTGCCATCTTCTTTGTCAGTTGCTGAAAAAGATGCAAGATGACTGCCAAAGATGGTGAAGAAGGCATGACTGCTTCATATTGAGAGGAGATGGTCTTCAGAATCACTTTCTCCTTGTTACCTGTTTCCAGTTCATCTAAATAACAAGATGTTTCTGAACCTCTGGATGGTGTGGCCAAGGGAGCATGCCCTCAAGGGTTCTTGGTGAAGCTCAGAGCTCTAGAGGTGTGCTGGCAGTGCACCACCCAATGATCCCAATAAGGCCATTGGGGTGGCAGCAGCACAGAGCCCAGTGGTGGTACCCATGGGTGGCCATTCCTGAAGGGCGGTGGAGCAGTCATCTGTGGGTGTGTCCTTGAGCTCCTTTGGTAATGAAAACTACATGAAGGATGAGAAGAATATTAAAACACTACTGTCTCAGGCTTGCTGTCTGAACCTTTGCTAGACAACAGAGGAACATGGCATAGCAGTGGAGATATTTCCTGTGCTTGGAAGAGGCTCAGTACCAAGAAGAAGGGATTCCAGTGCATCTAGCATGCTGAGGTCTCTTGAATGTCAGAGTTCAGTCTGTATCCATCATCTTGGCATCAATGTCAGTGTCTGGGGGACAGGTATCTTGTCAACACTGGTTGCTACTGTCCTGATCAAGCCACTTACACCTGCCAATGAACCAGCGCCCATGCCCATGAGGTCTGTGTGCCTTTCAGCAACACTGGTTATTGTTGGTTTCTGAACTGACATAGCCTCAGTGCTGAAGATAGCCATAAGAAATAACCATCTTGCTCATTATCTTGGGACTCACTAAAGAGGCATTCTGCTTTCTTAGAAGATCTGAGAGAGGAGTCCACAGCCTACTTCTTTGATCCACAGCCCTTAGATGTGGAAGACGTGTGTCTATCAGATGATCAGGGTTGGAGAGCTGCCACTACGAAAATATTCTTCTGGCACAGTCTTTGTGGGATCTTGGCCAGTGTGATTAGCAAAGATCATGCTTTTGTTATATGAGGTCTTGGTCAAGGTACTGAATGCTGAGAGGATCTATCTGCGATCAAGATTGCTTATTTACAAGTGAGGGACTTTTTGAATCTTGGCAAATTAAGAATAGCCTGCTGCTGAAAAGGACCCCGGATGGGGGAGAAAAGGTGGGAAGAAAAAAATAAAGTTTTTTTTTTTTTTTTTTTTTTTTTTTTAAGGATAGAGAAAGAAAGGGGAAAACAACAAGAATTATAAGTCAGAGAGTAATTATAGGTAAGTAAAATTAAGATGATAGTCTTAATGGACTGCTCCATCTCTAGCCAGGTTGGCTGAGGAGGAATTGAGAAAGGTTAACTAACACTAACACACACACACACACACACACACACACGATAGCCTTGTGATGCAGCTTAAGGAGAGACAACATGTATGGGGGCCCAATGGACACTGCTACTGAAGTTCTCCAAAAAGCAGCACCAGGACAAACAAGGACACTGCTCAAAGAACTTTCCAGGTGCAATCATTCTGGACATCCAATGTAGTACTTATTGAAACAGCAGTAAGACACATTGCAGAACTTCTAAAGTTAGTCTACAATCAGTAAGCCTGATGGCTAATTAACACAAAAAGGAGAGTGCTGCCCCAGGCCTGATCTACACTAGGAAATTAGGTCAAACTTAACTGCATTAGGTCAATTTTCTCAACAATAAGTATACGCCATCAATCTTCTTCCAATGACTTTAAAGATTACATCGATATCAGTATTCCAGCTTTTCATAAGGAGTTATGATAAATTTAAGCTAGCAAGGTCTGCTTTAGAGTACTGCAGATGCAGCACTGTGAAAGTCGACATTTTTGGCATCTGGGAAGAGTCCCACAGTGCTCTGCTTTGACTGCTCTGGCAAGGACTTTCAACTCTGCTGCTCTCCAAGAACACTGGAAAAGACCTGGGAAAATATGAATTTCATTTCTTGAGAGGCCAGCATGGCAAGCAGATCTCAAAGCAGGCAGCACATTTGACCATGAATGCCCAGGGTTGAAAACTAATTCCAGCATAGAGCATGCAGGAGACCCTGTACCTCATTCTGTGAGGTGAGAAATCAGTTCATACAGAAATATAAACAGCAAAAGAAATGTTTATATCTATGCCAACTTCACACAAAAAAAACAACAACAAATGGTCTGGTAGCACTTCATAGACTAACAAAACATGTAGATGGTATCATGAGCTTTCGTGGGCACAGCCCACTTCTTCAGATGACTGGAGTTATGCTATCCCCTACTCATAACTCTGGTCATCTGAAGAAGTGGGCTGTGCCCACGAAAGCTCATGATACCATCTACATGTTTTGTTAGTCTATGAAGTGCTACCAGACCATTTGTTGTTGTTTTTTTTGTGTGAACTTCACAAAGGGCATGGTGGAGAAAGGATACATCAGGGACACCCAGCAGTGCCATGTGAAATTAAAGGAGCTCAGACAAAAGTACCTGAAGACAAAGGAAGCAAACAGATGGTCTGAGTCAGTGTGACAAACACACTACTTCTATGAGCAGCTGCATGAGATTCGGGGGGAGATGCAACCAACTTCCTAAGCCAGTCCATGGATTTCTCCCAAGACACTCCTCTGGACGCCTCAGGCAGCAGTACAGTGGACAGTGTGGATGAGGAAGTAGAGAAGGAGGAGAATGGTCAGCAAGCGAGAACATCCCATCTCACTGACAGCCAGGACCTATTGGAGACAATCCTCTCCTTCCAAGACATCTCACTGCTGGGCTTTGACAGCAGGGAGGGCACTTCTTGTGAGTTCACCTTTTCAATCATGCTACATGTGGGT